GATATATAATAAAAATTTTTATATTTAAATAAATTCCAATACCTAATAACTTAATTAAATAAGATAGAATTAAAATTAAAAAAATAATTTATTGATATTTATCTGAGATACAAATCTTTTTGTATCAACTCATACTTAATATTATATTAAAATAATACTTTATTTTTCAATTTATTATTTATTAAAAAAAAATTTGAAATATATCTATCTATTTTTTATGAACTTTATATTTCAAAAATTTAATATAAAAATTTATTTTAGAACTATTAATAAGTAATTATGAATACTGTATATAAAAATAGATTAAAGTAATAGATTTTAATTTTTTATTATATATATAAATAAATATTTATATACTTAAATATATTATTTGTTATAAATTTAATATTAAAAATTTTAGCAAAAAATATTATATATATTAAAATATTTAAAAAAGTTCATGAAAATAGACTTGATAATTTTATATATTTTTAAAATTATAATTTTTATTAGATAAGTTTATGAAAAAAAGAAAAATTTTATATTAGATACAAAAAAGTTAAAAAAATAAAAATATTAACAAAATAATTTATAAGATAAAAGTTAATGATAATGAAAAATTATAATATAGTAAAGAATATTAAAGCAATTATTGAATTATTAAATTAATATTTTTTGAATTATTATGATAATACAATCTATTATGTATTCATAATTTCAAATTTATGAAAGTGATAAATTTGAACAGTTATAACTCTATAAAAAATTAGCAAATAGAAATTGTCTTTCATAGATAAGAAGCTAATAATTTATTCTGTCAAATTATAAAAAAGTTTTTTTTCAGATATATATGGTTAAATTACGTAGTTAAAGATAATATATATATATATATATATAAATATAAATGTCATATTTAAAAAATCAGATGTTAATATTACTTTATATGATCTTGCAACTCATGTAAATATTACGTTTTCAAAAATATTTCGATGCGCTAATTAGGGAGATTTTTATTCAAGAATAATTATTCTGACATTATAATATTTTTATGAAAAGTTTTAAATGATATTATCGATTTATTAAACAGATACCAATGTTCAATAAATAATACCGATTTAATAAATTTAATTTTATATGTGTTAAAATCCTTGACGTTCTGATAAATTTGTAAATGCATAATATTTGACTTCTCGTGATTTATTATAAATATCATTATTCGGTTGAGAATTTATATCTATGTGAGATAATTTAAGAATTAACAGATTTTCATATTTTCACATTAAGTTATCATATTTTTCTAATTTTTTGTAATATAAAACTTATGCGGTAAAATTATATGCTTTCCGTTTTGTCATAAACGTCATAAGTTGTAATATCTTAAAATTTAAATCTTCTTATGGCCACATGTTCGATATTGAGGCATTTTAATATTAACAAAAATTTTTTCTGACTCAATTAATATTGTTTCTAAAAGAGCATCATAATGTTCGGGCGTTACATTCATCGAGGCTGCTAAAATTCCTCTAGAAGAATTGAGGCCACTAACATAACAGTGTAGAGTCTTTGAATATAAGCATATAGAAAAGTGTATATTAGGAAAAGCTTATAATACTATAATTTTGTGAATAAATTCGTTCGTTTCATATTTACCTCTTTCCCAGTTTTACCACCTTTATTACCTAAAGTGATAGATTTTTCCTCATATTTAATTTCTGAAAACGCGTTTGTTTTTTCAAAAATTCTTGGAAATTCTTTTCCAATTTTAGGGTTTATTCCTTTTGATGTCATGAAATTATTGACTAAACAAATAAAAGGTAAGTAAAACTTATTATTTAATCAATAACCATATAAAAAGATGCCGTACTTACGAGCCCTTGCAACTCTATTTGTAACGGACCCATTAGATGTAAGACATGCATCCCCTTCTAAGATTTCGACCCATCCACCTGGTCGAGCTAACCGTATCATTTCTGGGACAACTTGCTCTTCCCATTGTACTT